TTACTACTTTCTGACTTTCAATGTGCAAGTGTAAGGGGCTTTTTTTTTCCCCCCTGAAGAAGGTTTGAAGGCATTTGACAGACTTTAAAAATATTCAACGATCACTATTATGTGACATTCTTATGATTTCTTATGACTTTTACTCTGAGGATTTTAGAAGTTTGATTGTGACAATAACAACTTTGTGTCTTGGAGGAGTGAACCAGCTTACTGGTTGTTTGAGCCACAGAGGACCTAATAGAAAAACTGCAGAAAGCAGAGGTTGTGAACACAGGGCTTTTCAATCTGTTGTTCAACCTTCCTTCTCTGGGCTTTTTTTTTTTTTTTTTTTTAAAGGATTCCTATTTTGGGGATGTTTTGAATGCAGTGTGCATTAGGCAGTGGGAAGTACAGAGTGACCTTTCAAGATATTTTAGGTTTGAGTCTATAATTAGAAAACACTATTTAAGTTCTAATAATAAGATTTTACTCTGAAAGCACCCGCCTATATTAGTGGGTCAGTCCTCCACAGTCCCTTTCTCCCTCCCTCTCTTTCATATCTGCCTTAGGTACATCCAGGGACTCTGTCTCTGAAATGCACCTTCCAAGTATCCAACTGTGGGGCACATTTTGATGAGAGTTAAATGCTTTCATTCCCTCCCTCCTTTGTAGGATCGCTTCAGTGACTTCCTTACCTGTTCTTCAAGGAGCTGACATGTGCTTCTTATAGAGTTAGTTTGTGAACCCGTACTCAGATATAGCCATCAACTCTTCCAGGCTTTGTGCTTGAAAAATAGCAGAAAACCTGACAGGTGTGGCCTCTTCCCTCATGAATCTTAAAAGTCTCACAGAAAGAAGACAAATAAATCTTGTCTTTTGATTGACTAAACGATTGCAATTAGCAAACAAATAGGATGGAGAAAAAGTGTAGAATTATGTTGGGGGAAGTGAAAGGAAGCCTGATCTTACTTCTCCCAAGAAGTGATGTTTATCCAAGATGCGCAGGGATTAATTATATATGCTCTCTCTCCTTTGCAGAATGCTACTTTCAATGCCTGAGAACCACAATTTAAGTAATCTATTTCTGCTTTCTTTAACAATACTCCACATATATTAAAATGAAAAAAAAAACATTGCTGTAGTTGATTTCAACCTTAAGATTAACACCCTTTTCTACAGTTAACAATTTAGTATATATTTCAAAATTGGGTGTTTTGGATGTTCCCAAAGAAATGATAAATGTTTGCGATGATGCGAGATGCTGTTACCCTGATGTGTGCATGTATGGAAACACCACACAGTACCCCATAAATATGTACAATTGTTATGTTTCTATTAAATAAAAAGATTAACATCACTCTGTCTGAAGAAAAATTTTGAAATAATTAACTCCAAGTACAACATACTTTGCTGGATTAAATAGAAAAGAATGACAAATCACTGGGATGTTGGCTTAGGCACATGAAGTTCAATTATTATTTGAATTGTGGAGTAACCATGGAAGTTCAACTACATCATGGTAAGGGACTATTGGTAGTTTGGGACTATCTGAAGAAGCACAGGTCTTATTTAAATTATTTACTTATTTTATTGCAATACCAAGGATTGAACCAAGGCACTCTTAACACTGAGCTACATCCTCAGTCTGTTTTTCTTTTTGAGATAGTCTCAGGTAAATTGCTGAGGCTGGACTCCAACTTGTGATTCTCCTGCCTCAGCCTCCTGAGTCCATAGGATTACAGGTGTGGGCCATCATGATCATCCCCAGCCTTTTTATTTTTATGTTTGGTGGTGCTGGGCAAACACTCTACCGCTGAGCCACATCCCCAGCTCTAGCCTTTTTATTTTTCAACGAGGTTGGCCTTTAACTTATGATTCTCCTGCCTCAGCCTCCTGAGTCCATAGGATTACAGGTGTGGGCCATCATGATCATCCCCAGCCTTTTTATTTTTATGTTTGGTGGTGCTGGGCAAACACTCTACCGCTGAGCCACATCCCCAGCTCTAGCCTTTTTATTTTTCAACGAGGTTGGCCTTTAACTTATGATTCTCCTGCCTCAGTCTCCTGAGTCTCCAAGATCATAGGTATGTACCACCATGCCCAGCACAGGTCCTTTTAAAGCTATGGTTTGCTCTCTAGTAACCAGTCTTTTACAGAAAATTCATCTGTTGTCCAATTTACAATAAAATCTGTCTTAACCACAAGAGCTTAGAGCCTCGGATGACCATGACAGATGGGAATATCCTTCCAAGTTGTTTGATCCCCTGAGATGATGACTTCTGCCAGATGATGACTCTCAAATCCATTAAACTTAAAAACAGATGCTTTGCAACCGCATCAGGTTTCTTAATGTTTTCATGTGGTTCATTTTTTGCCATCTCCTGATGTTAGGAAATTTGCTTCATAAATCTGGACCAGTCTCCTCAACCCTGATCATCAGAAGCATGGCTGTGGGGAACGGAGGTAAAGATGGACTGAGAATTTCTGGTGTCATTGTGTCCCTGAAAAGAGCCAGCCCATGAGAGCTGGTCATCCCTCTCACATTTCATGGCTTCTTACTGAAGAGCTTCTGGAGCATTAGTCTTTGAAATTCATGGAGGGACATGGAAAGCCTATCAGAGCACCCTGCGATGGCTTGCCTGGTCGTCACGGCTCCTCGTCACCTCTTGGTTATGGACCCACAGCCAACATATCCAAGCTAAGTGTCAAGGAAGGCTCTGTTTCTTCTAGAGAACCAAATATGATTCCCCAGTCCTCTTCCTCAAAATACATACAGATATGGACTCTCTCCCTCTTCCTCTCTCTGAGTTTTGGTCTGTAGGTTATTTGTTTTTGTTTTTGACTCTGGCAACAAAGGAGTTGAGAATCCAATATGCAGCCCAGGTTCCATCAGTGTGTAAGAGTTGACTAATACACGGAATTTCCCCCGGTTTCTTCCCATCTTAGTTCCATCTTAACAAATGCATAGGACACTCAATGCCAGAGGCTGTTTCTAAGCTCTTCATTCCTATTAATTCCTTCAATTCTTGAGTGCTTTGAGGGATCCTATGAAGTGAGCATAGTTATTGTCCCAATTGGATGAGGGGGAACTGAGGCACCCGGAGGGTTGGGCTCTCACCTGGAGTCACACAGGTGCTCAGTGTGGACTTCGGGATCCTTATTCATAACCACCGGTTATGAATTTGCTGCCTTTGCCCCTGGCAGCAGGTGGAATGGCATTAAGTCACAGGAAACAATTCTCCCTCTTCCTCTGCATCTTGTGAACAAGAACACCTGGCGTGTATTTACCAAGCTCTCTGATTCTACCTCACTTCCGTCAGTTGAAAGTTATATCATTTACTTTATTCCTTTATAAAATTACGCATGATCCATAAACTTTATATTAAAATAAATCACGAACTTCATGATACTATTCAAAATAAGTGTTTTTATAACATAACACCACCTTAGAATGTGTATAGAAACTTTTTTTTGTTTGTTTGAAATGGTGAGCATGTATTTGCCTTCAATTTCCGGTTGTTACCTTTTAGCCATTCACTCTGCTCCCTTGCCCCCACCCTTCCTCTCTTCCAATACTGGGGATATCGAACTCAAGGATACTCTACTACTAAGCCACATTCCCAGCCCTTTTTATTTTTTATTTTGAGACAGAGTCTCAGTAAGTTACCTAGGCTAGCTTCAAAATTTCAATCCTCCTGGATCAGCCTCTCAAATCAAGTTGCTGGGGTTACAGCTGTGTTCTGCCATAGCTGGCAGCCCCATTCTCCTCCTTGACAAGGGCCCACACGTAAGTGACTAGAAGGTACCATGTTTAGGGCAATGGACTTGAATATAACCTAGAAGATAACAATATTATTAGTATCATTTATACCATATTAAAATAGTTATAAATTATTACTATTCACAAACTTAAAGCCCAAGAACAGTTATCTGTTTTGATTTGACTTTCCCCTGCTACCTAAGAAATAAAATACATTGATATCTCAGTGCCCTAGCGATCTCTTAAATGTGGGGAAACTCTGACGGATTTAAAGTAGGAGTGTGAACTTTTAGAAAGATCAGCTTGGAAAATGGGACACAATGATCCAGGGTAAGAGGATGGTATTGGGCAGTAGAGTCAGGTCGGTGGTAGTGGTGGGTGGAGTTGCCAGAGGGGAGTGGCTGGATTAAAGTTCAAGTTGAGATGAGGAAAATATCCTCCAAATATGTAGTGTTCTTCATAGGGATAAGTGTGGCCCCTGGAGGGAAGCCTACAGCCTCTGAGATGCGACACTAGGCCACTTACTCTGATGGGCCTTACCCTGGTATGAACTTTGGGGCTGATTGAAGTTTATTTCATCATTAGGTGGCATTTCAGGTACACATTTTTCCTTTTAATTTTCTAACAACTTCATTGAGAAGTAATCACATCCCATAAAACTTATTCTTGGGAAGTGTGTAGTTCTGTGTTTTTGGTATACTTTGAATCTGTAGCCAGCTGCTATCTAGTTCTAGAACACATCACCCTGGAGAAAAACCACATACCCACTCATGTTCACTGCCCATTCTCCTCTTCCCCCAGCCCCTGGTAGCCACTTCTCTTTCTGTGTTTCTGCATTTGTCTGTTCTGTATGTTTCTTACAAATGAAATCATGCAACATGTGGTCTTTTTGACTGGCTTATTTTATTTAAAATAATGTTGCATGTACCATTACTTCAGTCTTTTTTGTTTGTTTGTTTGTTTTGAGACCAGGGATTGAACCCATGGATGCTTAATCACTGAACCACATCCCCAGCCCCTTTTATTTATTTTGTTTTGAAACAGGGCCTCATTAAGTTGCTGAGGCTAGCCTTGAACTTGTGATCTTCCTTTCTCAGCCTCCACAGTCACTGGGATTGCAGTTGTGCACCACTACACATGGCTCAAAGCATCATTCTTAACCTGACCATTTCCCCTTCCTACAGTTGGCATCCTCTGGCCCTACAACACTCAGAAAACATCTGCCGCAAGACTTGGAGTGTTAACTGCCACAGGACCAAGGTGGACTTGTCCATGCTATCATCTACAAAAGGTAGGATTGGTGCTCTCTAATGCTGTATCATCAGCTCAAGGTTGGCTGGCCACCACTTCTGCGACTTCTCTGCTGTCTCCCCTTTTCCAGTTTAGATACTGCACAAGCTGGGCACAGTGGTGCATAGCTCTAATCCCAGTGACTCAGAGGCTGAAGTAGGAGGTTCACAAATTTGAGCCAGCCCCAGCAACTTAGTAAGGTCATAAGCAACTTAGCAAGATCCTATTTTTGTGTAGGGGGGTGAGGGGGTTAGATCATTTTATTGAGGGGATTGGAGGGTAAGGAGCAAGTAGTAAAACGCTGAAAAGGACAATGAGATCCAGCAAGATCCTGTGTAGGGCTGGATCTTGTTGTCACTGAAAAACCAGCAAGATCCTATCTTAAAAAATAAAAAGGGTTGGGGATACAGCTCTGTGGTGAAGTGCCTCTGAGTTTAATCCCCACCTCCACTCCTAGCCCTATAAAATATATTGCACAAATACTTTTACTTTTAGAATTTTTATTTTATCCTATGGAGAATCTTGAATGGCAAGCTCTTTCAGGTAGATGGATGGTTCCTCACTTATTGGATTGCTATTTTAAATGACAGCAAGAGAAATGGACATAAGACCCAAAGTTTTAAACCTTTCTGCTAAAAGAGAATGCTCAGTGGCCTCAACCAAGTTTAAGAAAAGTTTGTGGCACTAAAAATCTTCACGATAAATCAGTCAGCTATGCACATATTCAACACATTATTGAAGTATTACTAGTATGATTATTCTGTTTTTATTGTCACATATTCTAAGGTTAGGCTGGGTTGATGTTGAATGCCTGTAATCCCAGCAGTTTAGGAGGCTAAGGCAGGAGGATCACGAGTTCAAAGCTAGCCTCAGAAAAAAAATGAGGTGCTAAGCAACTCAGTGAGATCCTATCTCTAAATAAAAAACAAAATAGGGCTGGGGATATGGCTCAGTGGTGGAGTGCCCCTGAGTTCAATCCCTGGTACCAAAAAAAAAAAAAAAAAAAAAAGTTATATATTCCAAGGTTAAAGAGATGTCTCTGTGCCCACTGAGGAGGAAGAAGTTGTGCTCAGTGTAATTGACATCGATATTGTGTGAATAAATTCACTGCTAGACTGCTTGAAATTAACTTCAAGGATAATTTTATTCTTGAAAATAAAAATAGTCATGGCACTTTTGGTGCAAAAGATTTTCTGTTTGGTGCGAAAGATTTTCTTTTTCCCTCTGGGTACCTTAGGATTAGAACTCGTTTGACTTAAGGTAGCCATTGTTTTACCTCATGACTAATTAGTGTTGTGTTTCCCTGGAAAGACTTCCATCCTAACATGGACCCAAAGTACATGTAATCACAAGTTAATTAAAAAATAAAATGTTGTGAATAATTAAGGTTCATTGTTCCACACAGCATTCTCTAGGCTTATTTGTTCACCTTCTATAAAACCTAGAATAATTCTAGGAATGTTGCAAGGATCAGAACGCCTATATTGGGCCAGTACTAGGAATGGCAAGTATTTCTAATATATTTGACACCAACAAATTTTCTCTCTCCCTTTGTGTGGTGTTGTCTGTCCCATTGACATTGGATGAAGAAAAGAATCCATTTATTCAACAAATACTTAACACTTTCTCTAGTGCCAGGCCCTTTTCTCCATGTGGCATATGAGGCAGAGGACAAAAAACAAATTCTTGCTTTCAAAAATCTTTAAAAAACTCCCAGATATCCTCAGAAAGCAAATGGGGGCAGGAAGGCATAGAGAACTGGACTCTCGTTCTCTCAGGTACCCTGGGAAAACCCCCTGCAAGATGGTGGATGGACACAAGTAGAAAAGGAGAGAGTTGGAACATGATTTGGAAAATAAAGAAATTTTCTGCTCTACTCAGTCCAGAATTTTTAGAAGTTTGTTGAAACAACAGCCCAAAAAAGGGACTAGGTTGATTTAACTTGGACTTGAGAAAGGATGACTTTTCAAGTACATATATATTTTTTTWAAGAATGTTTTTAGTTGTAGATGGACGCAATAACTTTTTTATTTATTTTTTTATGTGGTGCTGAGGTTCGAACCCAGTGTTTCATGTGTGCTAGGCATGCACTCTACCGCTAAGCTACAACTCCAGCCCCAGGAGTATATAATTTTTATCCATTATTGTTTTCAGACTTAAGGAATGAGACCAAATTCTGCTTTTGCCATCCAGCCTCTGTTGTCAGTACCTAAATAAATCCTTCTGGATTCCTTTCTGTAGAAGGAAGGAAATATGAATTTATATTTTCCCCCTTCAAAATGTAAAAACTAGCATACTGTACTTCTCTGAAATAAAGAAATTTCTCTGAACAATATATGTAGGAAAATTTAACAAATCAGTGCTAAGAGAGCTCCTCATTATKTTTTTTTTAAAGCAGTTACAGTGTTGTCCATTGTAGGGATGTACCACAATGTAAATAGTGACCCATTGATGGACATTTGGGTTGAGGCCAATCACTGGCTTTTAAACAATGCTGCAATAAATAACTGTACATAGGCTACTTTTCATGTATGCAATTACATCTGTGTAAACTTGCAAAGGAGAATTGCAGGTTATAAGGTGTATGTGTAGTTTTGACAGATTTCATTAAACTGCTTTCCAGAGTAGGTTTTCTTACTACATTTCTACCAGAAACTTGTGAAGGTACTTGTTTTCAGGGTCTGGAGGTTTTGCCAATCCTGATAGGTTAAATGGTTTCTCAAAAGTAGTTCCAATTTGGGAATAATATTTATTCGGAATTTTCAGTGGCATTTTTAAAAGAAAATTCTTGGAAAATCAAATAGAGCTGCAATTAAGGGTTTTTTTWAATAAAAATTATTGTACATGTTGCCAGAGGATAATTTAAAAAAAAGTCTGCCAAGTCATTTTAGATTTTCTATTATAAATTTTAAGATGATGTTTGCCCTTATTTAAAGTGCTACATTGTATATTCCATAAATATGCAGGATAAAAGTGTTTCTCAGGTATGTGATATACTTAGCTGAACTAAAAGTAAGACCTTTCTGCTATAGCTTGATCCTATATTACAGCTAATTGAAACAAATCAGTGTGCAGTGAGCTGACATGGCAGGCCTGAGGCTGCTGTCCTTTAGACCTGCTTGCAGGGTCAGTCCTTTGGCATTCCCACCAGTCCTGATAGGAAGGGTTCACCRTTGCTATACATTTTTGTTGTTTTGTGTTTGGTACTGGGAATTGAATCCAGGGGCACCCTATTACTGAGCTAAATCCCCATCCCTTTATATTTTATTTTGGCTCTTGCTACATTGCTGAGGCTAGCCTTCAACTTGTGATCCTCCTGACTCAGTCTCCCAAGTTGTCAGTACCTAAATGGATCCTTCTGGATTCCTTTATGCAGATGGAAGGAAATAGTAGTATGAATTTATATTTTCCCCCTTCAAAATGTAAAAAATAGCATACTATACTTCTCTGCAATAAAGAAATTTCTCTAAACAATATATGGAGGAAAAATTAATAAATCAGTGCTAAGATAGCTTCCTCATTATAGGTGTGTACCATCACAGCCAGCTTCTACACTATTTTTGGGAAAAAAAGAATGTGGTATATGTTGAGCACCTGCTTTCCTGCAGGGAGTATTGAATTTGGGTTTCTGTCTGGCAGAGGATGTGTTAGTGACCAACCTCAATTTAAAAAATTAAAAATAAATAAAATTTAAAAACCCTGGTCTACACTACTTCACACCTGTTGCTGGTAAAATTAGCACATCTCATATGCCTCCACTGGGAGAGGCTCATTTGAAGGCTTTTGCCTGGTCATCTCCAAACTTTGCCCAAATGCCTTTTCCCTTTGCTGACTTTGCTTTGTATCCCTTTGCAGCAATAAATCATAGCTGTGAGTATTGCCATAGGCAGAGTTGTCTGAAGCCTCCTMGTGAGTCATTGACATGAGGGTGGTCACACCCCTTGCAGACACTCAGCATTGTAAAGACTTAGATATTCTGTCTTCTGCAGTATTAGTGCAAATGGCACAGATATGTTAGCACTTAATTGACTTTTAGCACTAGGTCTTAACTTATCTGTGTTTTATTGTAAAATGTCCAGTCTTTCAGATTTTTGAATAGACTGATTTAGCATTTACACCTAACAAATGGAGATGGCAAGAAGTCTCCCCTGGGAATTAGATCCTTTTATGCTTGGTGGTGAAGCCACATGACTGATTCTTGGTTATCTTAATGTTTGTATTTAGATATACAAGCTCCTTGCTCTCCTTCTCTATAATTAAATTATTCAAAAAATGGTTTACCAAATTGTTTTAGATTCATAGGCACAGAATTTTAGTTAAGTAGTCTGATTTCTGAATTATGCTTTGACTCTGAAGCTTATCTGCAAATAAGTAGTCCTAGAAACTCCAGATCAGGGCCACTTTTTGGCCAATTAGGCCATGTAAATGCTGATTTGCAGGACAGGAGAGTTTTRCCAAATATGGCACAAGGCCCAAAGACAGAAATCAGACTTTATTTTTGTATAATTATGTTGGATTTGCATTSCATTTAAAATTTTTAAAAATTCAAATAGAAAAATGTGTAAGACAGTTAAACATAAAGATTTATTTGTTTATTTATTTATTTATTTAAAGATTTATTTGTTTAAGTTCCTAAGGAACTGAAATAGCTTCTAAAGATAAAAGATTTTATTTATTTTATTTGGTGCTGAGAATGTAACCCAGGACTGTGTGCATGCTAAGCACATCATCTACCTCAGAGCTACACCTTCAGTCCCCAGAGTTTATATATATAGTTTTAAAATGTTAAATAGCCAGGAACAATGGTTCTCAATCCCAGGGTTGACTGATTTGTGTTTGACATGGTGGCAGTCTCTATTCTCAATGCTTTAGTTTTCATAACAGCCTTGTGAGGTAGTTATTATTACCTCTGCTTTGAGGCATCTAGGGTTTAAGTGAATTTCCCAAAGTTAAGTGATTTGCTAGAATGTGGTAGAACTGGATTTGGAATCCAGATTGTAC